GTGCCCAGTTTAGTAAAGTCCACACAGGATGATGTTCCTTCAAGGGCATTAATAGTTATACAAGTAGAAGAGACTGGGTTTCCCAGTAGTACAATAAGTTATCACCAATGGACGTGGATTCTGGCCGTCCAGGGTTTTGTTTTGTTTTTTGTTCCTATCTATATTATAGTCTTACAATGACTTTGGGGGACAAGACTTATAACTTTCTGCTTAAAAAACTAAAACAATCCCTTACTGCGTCAGCTATAGATGAATTTCCTTCAGGTACTTACACAAAGATGAGCAGTTTTACTTCCAGTGACACATGCATGCTGCCTGTGTAATTGGAGTGGGCAAACAATAACTCACTTTAAAATGTGCATGAGAATATCTGTAACTGCGTCTCCAAAGATGAATAGAGGAAATCTGTACTGTGAACTTTGCTTGAGTGCAAACTAGTGTTTTTGTGGCGCAGACACCAAAAAGTCATCTTTAAAAGTGTTAACAAGCAATTTATATAACTAAGTGTGAGAGTCTAGAGTTGGCTTGAAAGCTGCTATATGTTTTTCCATGGAAAACTTTTGGTAAAACGGAACAAAATATAACTCTATTATATTTTTTAATTGTTTTCTTTCTGTTATGAAAGAAAAACAGAAAAATGTTGTTTTCACTTTGGGTGTATATAGCTACCTACCAACCTTCCTTCCTTCCTTTCAAGTTCAAAAGTTTCCATCCTTTATTATTTCAAGCTTTGTTTTTGGTTTTTGTTTTTTAAGTGATGCCCACTTTTTGGTTTCAGGCATCTTTAGGCAGTTTTTTTTCTTCTTCCAAACCTGATTCTGTGGATGGGAATGAGTTTTCTAATGCAATTTGAACAGTCTCTTTCACTGTTGCTAGAGCCATTGTGTAATTTAATAATATTTTTCCCCTTAAAGATCATGTTTCATCAAAGGAACTCAAAGCACTTTATAAAACCTTTGCAGCAGCCTAGGAACATAATTACTAGAATCCCACAGGAAAACTGAGGGATATAGCATGCTCAACTCTGGTCCTGCACCAGGTCTGAATTTGGTGTTGACTGCAGTGGGGTTCCTGCGGTTACAGTGTTGTAAGCAAGAGGAGAATGATCCAGCTGGTGGTAACATATCTGGGGGCAGAGATGAGAATAGAAGCCAGGTGCTCTGGACCTCAGTCCTCATCTCTGACCAACAGGACTTCATGTAGATAAAACAGCATGGCATTAGGAGGCAGAGGCCAAACTACCAGGGTCTGCTCTGCAGGCAGTGGCAAGGACTGGGTTAGCAGTGGTGGTGGCCATCGTTTTTGCACCCTCTGTAAGTGAATGTCTGGGGCTAGTGCCCTGCACCCACCCCTCAGTACATTACTGTTAGGAAGTAAATCACTGTAAATTTACACACATGTTCATCGTGCTTGTGCCTTTCCACAACATCATTGTACTGTGCTGTGTTGCAGGACTTGCCCTCAGCGAATGTAACAAGCACTTCCAAAGGTGGGTGACAAATGAAGAGAGCATGTGCCGGTGCCCTCCCTCTACACTGTCACTTCCAAGTGAGCTACAGGCAATTTATGAGCTCTTGCTGAGCTACTGAAGGCTGCTGCTTTGTCCATGATAGTGCTCCACATGCCTCTACAGTAGCAGCTGCCAACTGAAGGTCCCTAGGCCCTTCGTAAACAAGAATTAATTAAACCTCGGAGACCTACAGTGGGGAGCTGGTTGTAAGCTAACTGAGGACCCAGCACTTCAAGACAGGGAGGGAAGAATACTGTATTCCAAGCATGCTGCTGAGGTGGCCTGTGGAATTGCCGGGGTTGGTTTTTGCTCATAATATGGTGTCGTCTTTACCCCCAGCTACTAGGGACTTATGCTTTGTCTTGTCTGAAATGGCAGCTTCCCTTTTCATACCATGCAGATACATTGGTCCATTACTAAATCTTTTAACTTGCCAGCAGCATGCAGGTATGCACTGGGATCTCCCAGGCATGCATTTTTCTAGCCTGGTACTGCTCAGGTTATGGGAGCTGACAGCACAACAGCCCATATAGGTGAGGGACAGACATCCAAAAAGCCTGAGCCTGAATTGATTTAATCTTTGCAGGTTAGTCTAATCTGGCTAGGTTGAATTGGTTTATAACCACATAGACATCCCCTCTGGACTGAAGAAATGCAGGCACATGCCTGAAGTTCTCAGGCTGGATGCTGGGTGAGGGGGGTGCTAGAGCATCCCTCCCTTCCCTTTCATACTGCTGAACAGAGGGGGGGCATGGCCAGCAGGATGCTCTGATTAGGGAGGGGTTCCCCTCCACCTCGCTGCTCCTGACTAGCCCAGCAGAGAATTGATAACAGAGCATTTATCAGCCTATCAGAAAACAAAAGTCTGTCTCATTAGTTCAAGCTCTTCTTAAACATCTCTTTCCAAGGAAGGAATGGAGGGAAGTTACCAGCTGACCTGCTGATTAGCTCCAAAAAGCCCTAAGCAGACACTGTCCTGTCTGTCTTACACAGACACCTTTCAGCATTAGCTAGCATACCTCATGATGGCTATGCTCCATACTGTGGCAGAGGGGAGGGGTAATCCCTGCTTGAGCAAGGAAGGGGTGGGGGGGCACAGGGAAGACAGGCAGATGCTACTGTGCCTGCCATCTCTGCTGGAGCTCCAGCCAGGGAACAGAGGGGAGGGGCCAGTTCAGCTCTTTGGAAAAAACAGCCCTGCCCAGGGCTGCAAAGCATCTGGGATGCTGGAGGACTCTGGTTTAAGTTAAATCAGGAAGGAGTCTGGACAGACATTGCATAAACTGGTTTGAGCCAAATCAGTTAAGTCTGATACTACATTCAACCAGGCTTATCTCAAACCAGTTTTGGCCATGTTCAAACTGGTTTATGTGCACTAAATGTCTGTTCTGTTACAGGTTTAAATCAGTTTCTGAACACTTAAGCTGGTTTATGTGTAATGCCTGTCTCTAGTCGTACAGTGCAACTAGGTTTGCAGTCTATAGCTTGCTGGGTACTACTTTCATCTCTCTTCTTCACTGCAAGATCATATCTATTGATACAGACCACAAGAGGTTCTAGTCTGGTTCTCACGCAGTTATACACTGTATATACATGGGAAGACCCAACTACCAGGCCAAATAAATTCAGATTCTATATTCAGAAATAGAGCTTCCATTGAAGCATGGAGCTGTTGGGGGAATTAGAAGAATATTCACTGATAGCTTATTAGGGAGATGGTCAGGATAAAAGGCATAATCCAGTCAAATATGTCAGTAAATCCTCTCTATCTCCCTTTCTCCCTGTCTTTTTGGGGAAGTATTAATTCTGATTTTTTTTCCCCACCTTGAAATTTAACACTTAATCTTGAATCCCGTTAACTTTCAACTTAGAAGCTATTTAATTGTCAAGGATTCTTTCTATAATGATAATGCTCTAATGAAGTTTTATTTCTAATAAGTAGATCTGTCTCTATACTATACAGACTTTTGCCAGTGAACTTCTGTAGATGCCCTCTCCCCACCCCAAACTGTGTTTGCACAGCACTTAACACACAGGCAGGGACAGAAATTACACATAAACTGGTATAAGTGATCAGAAACCACCTAAAATCTGTAACACAAAATAAGTTCAGTGCGCATAAACTGATTTCAAAATAGCCAAAACCAGTTTAAGATAAATCTGGTTGGATGTAGTATCAGACTTAACTGATTCAGGGTAAATCAGTTTATTCAACTTCTGTCCCAGATCCCCTCCAGATTCAAGTTAACGCACAGTAACGCCAGTACCCCAGAATGCTTTGTACTGTTCCTGTGAACCCTCCCTTGCAGGGTGGGTAGGCTAGCCTTGTCCCAAGTTGCCTTCTCCAGTCAAGCAGAGAGGCCTGCTCTAGCGCCCCCCAGCTTCTGGCCTAGCCCACTGTAGGCACGTGGCTGCATTTCTGGAATAAAAAATGAATGCCTGTTCACTTGCTTATTGGTTCCAACTATGCAGCTTAGATTAACCTGCAAAGATTGAATTGATTCAGCCTTGTGTCTTTTGACTGCCTGTACTTAGCCACAGAGTCTAAGTCCCCTGCAGTAGCAGCAATTACTACACAGGATATGGCCCATGGCTCATATTTTGCTCACCCCTGTTGTAATCTCTGTAGGAATGTAGGTTCACTGGCCTTTCCACTGCAGACATCCTTTCTGCTGATTCTCAGAAGCACTTGCTTATATAACCATGATCCGGGGAAGACTTTAAGCCTATGACTCTTATTCTTTTAAAGTTGGCTTTCATGGGGGTATTGCAAGCACTTTAAGTTAAGCACATAGTTAAATGCTTCTAAAAATCCTTTAAGTTATAATTTCTCAAATTTCCTGCAGCTGGACCACTGGGAGTTGACACCATTGATTTCTGAAGAAGTTGGTTTTTGTTTAGCGAGGGGGGGAATGATTCAGATCTAAATACTACAGAGGACAAAATTACCTGGGTTGACATACAGTAGGGAAAGGTAATAAATTGGCTATGGCAGCTTGAAGTTCCAGGAGGTGATTACAAGTCTCTTTTTAGTCTCTTTAAAAAGAACCGCTCAATGACATAGGACAAAAAGATGGATGAGCCCTTCCTTAAAAGCCCATCTTTAGCTCAGCAGTAAGAGAATGCAGCATTTTCTTAAAGAAAAAAAAAAAAAGCAAAAAACCCAACATTTTTTAATCGATTCAACTGCACAAGAAATGAAAATACACAAAACCAAAACAGCCATTGGATGAAACTTCTTCGACTTTTATAATTACAGAATAGAAAAGAAATCCTCATTTCACATTACAAATACAGTCTTATAAAAACAAACCAACTGAAAAAAGATCTCAAAGCACCAGTGCCTATATCTGTCAAGTTTAAAAAGAGGGAGAAGGGAGCGGGCTTTCTTTCTACCAAATTTTAAATGACAACAGATTTTTCTTCCTTAGATAAATCCTCACGTGGATGGTAAATCAGGTAGGAGGCTGAGTTCTGTTCTTTTTATAGGTTTACACTGAAACCTGGAATAATGCTTCCTCTATGTTTTAGTCCATTTCTTAAGCAGGGAATAAAGCCGTTGATCTTGGCTGTACCATGTGCCAAGAGTACAGGGCTCTTGCCCTCGATTAGGGTACAGTCTTGGTCTCCTGTCAGCAGATCAGTGGTGAGATGACCGGATTCATGTCCTCTTCTGCATCAGGTGGTTTCTAATCCAGCCAGTCCTCCATGAAGTTTCTATGTGGTTGCTGATGTAGGAGAAGGTCACATCCCTACTTCAAGTCCCAATGTAGCACAGTGTCTGAGCCAAACTTTAAACTCAAGCAACCTGTGAGCATATGAAGATCTGCTTTGGCTCCTCAGTGTGGGGAGTTAAGCATGCACTTAAACTCCCAATTCAGAAATGCACATATTTCACTTGAATGATGTGCTTCACATGAATTTAATGTGAAGCCTGTGTTGAGTGCTGTCTGCCATGCCAAAGGGGCTCTCCCGAACTGGAGCCTAGTGGCAAGATCTACAGAGGTCGTGAGGTACCCCAGTAGGACTCAGACACCTACACATCAGTGCCCAGTGCTCTGCTCGGTCTCAGGGTAGGTCTGGGGGAAGAAAGAAATGAACAATGCAGCAGAAGCACAGCTGCAAGGCCGAGGAGGCTGAATGTGCCTATTGGTGCCCCTGAGGGCTCGGTCACCTCACTCTGTATTTGACTTGTTGGGGGCGTGGGGGGCATGTATTGCAGTCTAAGCATCTGGGTGCCTTTCCCTGGCATCACAGGGAGGTGGGTCAATGGAAAAGGCTTCACTCATTTATTAGAAAACAGCTGTTTTGACTCAAAATTATTGCCTGAAAAGGTTTGAACTCTGCTGGGTGGGAGGGGCATGTTCCCCGTCCTGCTGCAGCAAGGGGCTGGCAGTGCAGGGAGAAGGTTCAGAGCCAGCTCTTGCCTTGCTGCACTGCATGACAGGCCAGGCCTTGCCAGCACCCAGAGGGAACCAGAGCATCTCTCTGTGTCCAGCAGTCTCACCTTTGTTGCCGCTGGAGGTGAAGTTACACTTAGGCCATACTAAGGGCACTTAAAATGTGAGCGTCTGATCAATGAAGCTTGTTAACTCAGGCTAAGTGCCCTCTGAGAGTCTCAAAATTATGCCACTTCAGGCAAGGGTTAATTCTGGGCCTTGCTACCTAGCTTCTGTTAGGGGAACTTCAGTCTGCTCCACAGAGACAAACCAGCAATCTGCAGTACTCCAGCATGCCAGGACGCAGCACTCCCAGTTCCCTTCCCGACTTCCCAAGAGCAGGAATAGACTAGCTAAGGTGTCCTGGCTTCTAGCCATGCCTCTGCTTGCCAGACCCATAGTGGCAAGTCAGAGCTATGGAGGGAAGAAACGGGATTGACCCTTAATGTGCAACTGTTCATGGCACTTTCTCATTTTAACACTGCTTAACACTCCACAGATTTAGTGTGCTCTAAGTGTAATGTGTAACTTCACCCTTGGCTGCTTCCTTCTCTAGCAAGAGGAATATTACCCCAGCCAAGCCATTCTGTTTCTTCAGCCCTGCCACGCTAAGCAGCTAGCCATTGCACAAATAATAAATAAAACCTCTGACAACAGGCTCTTTCCACATTTCCCCTTCCTCCCACCCCTCATCTGGCTCTGCAGTGCAGCACCCTATGCTAATACTGTCACAGTGAGTCCTACCAGCTGAAGGGAGGCAAGAAGCAGTGGCTTCAGGGGAAGCTTTCTGTACCACTTGGGGGATCTGGGAATGGGTGGTTAAGCTGGATGGAGGGACATTTCTTTTGCTCTGGGAGATGCACCAGGATCCAGCATGAGTTGTCGGGCAATTTGGATCAACTGCAGGTTTTTTTTTACAGGAAGACATTTGCTGCAAATTGGCTTTCCTCATATGGCAGCCAGATCCAGGCAGGAGTTTCCACCGAAAGCCGGGAGCAGAACTGAGCTGTCCTGTTAGTCCTGCCTGGGTATGGGTAGGACTTAGAGCTGTGTGCCTAGTGCTGTACACAGCACCCCTGTGCAGTGGGAGCCCCTACCATTTCATCTGCCCTTCCCCTTGCCTTTCCCGCATGGTTCATCTTTTGGCTGTAGCCTCTGGACACCCATGGCTGGGCAGGTGCCAGCAGGGACTGGTGAATGCTCAGTACCTGGTTGAATTGGCACAGCTGCTTGAGTCACTGGACTTGCACTTTCATGAAAGAAAGTCCTTGGATTTACAAAGAAAAAAATGCTTAAGGAAGCTGGGCTTGTTTTGGACAGATGTTTCTTGAAATGGAAGCTGGGCCAAGGGAGGGAAGTGGGACAAGACTGAGGGCTGCTGGCAATGTTTTCAGAAGAATAATGAATAGCAAAGGTCCACCTTCTCTGTTCCCAGGTGGTTCCCAGCTTTCTCCAGTCCCTGCTCGTCAGCACTGACATCAGATCTGGGCCTGGGCTGCAGACACCTGTAGGCACGTTCCAGGCAGTGGCTGCCCCCTGGGGACCCTGCCTGTGACCTAGAAGAAAGTGTGCCATGGGCTGCTTCGCTGGAGCTCTTCCCCAGTGCGACTTGAGAGGAGCACTCGGAGTGAGCCTCCTGGAGGGATGCTGCATCATACAGCTTTTCCCAATCATTTGCAAAGAGCCTTGGATTTGTTCTCTGTTGTTGAGAAACAGGACGAGGCAATTCCTTTCCCTGCTGACTAAAGACCTGGCTCTGTGAGCCCCTGGCATGGGGGTCTTGGTGCAGCTCCAGGGACAGATCGCTTTCCATGCAGGAAAAAGAGATTTCCTTGCATTTGTCCTGAAATGAACTTGATTCTTCTGGCTGTATCGATTACTTTCCTGTTCAACACCCTCACCCAGGTCATCCTGGCTCTGCTTAGTGGGGTGCCCTGATTCTTCTCAAACTTACTGCTGAACCTGCCATGAGTCACCAATGGGGACAGTGTGCCTGGGCTGCTTTGTGAATTGCCTCACAAGCCCGGCCAGGAGTTACGAGGGATGTGTTCTTACACCTCTACATCACCCGTGAACAGAGAACCCAGAGCAGCAGGTACGGTGCTGCTTGTCTGCTGCCCCCATGGTGAGCAGGGACTGAGCTGCAGGCATGGAGAACATGGCTGCACTGGCGGAGCGGAGGAAGCTGGCTCTCTTGGTAAAGAATCACTGCAGCATCCTCCCTTGCCCTGGAGGAAAGGGGAAGCACGGAGCAAACAGTGGCCGACTGAGCCACACGTCACCCCCTGCCCTGCCCTTACACCCGCCTTTGCCTGCACTTGTGGGTGTTTCAGTGCAAGCACCACTTCAGGACCCAGAGCTGGCAGGTCTGGGCTCTGCGTCTATCAGTTGCCCTGCACACTGCCGGCACCACGGGCCCTGCAGAAGCAACAGTTGTTTCTTGTCGTAGCTTCTCAGTGGCCTGGTGATATCTGGAATGCAGAGATATTTCCCTGGGGAATTTTAAAGCTGGGCAAATCTGGGGCCTGACCTGCATGGCAGGGTCTCTTTTAAGCGGGTTAAGCAAGGTCAGCTCAAACGTTTGTAACATTTTCAGCACCCCATGCTGTTACACCAGTGCCTCTGTGCAGGCAGGAGGACTTCAGGCTCAGTCAGTTTTTCCTTTCTAAGCCCCTGGTTTTGGCTTTCCAGTAATGCAGCTCTAAAAAAACAAAAATCACTTCTCGGGAAACTTAATTAATGCAAACGGGTCTCAGTCTTGGAGAAGGAGCATGTTAAAAAGAAATCAAATGTAATTCTCCTTCCATCCAGGCTGACCTCAGCAGTGTTCAGGAGACAGCTGTGTGAATAATAGATTTTAAAGTCTGGTCACTGAACTGGGGGAAAAAAATTCAGTTCAGGCTGACCCCCATTTTTTTTTTAAGTTTCTTCCTCCCCCCTTTTTGTTTTGGACTGGAAACTCTCTGCCAAATTCAAGCTGAATTCGGGAATAATTTCAGTGCCCCTGAAACTGCATGTTTCAGCAAATTTATTATTCATTGAAAAAAAGTTTGCAGAGCTCTACTGAAAAGAATAAATTTATACTAAGGATTGCAGCTGGTGAGTGGAAAGAAATAAGGCCAGCTTCTGTTCCACCTAATAGAGGCCCATGTGAATTTAGGCATCGAAGTGAGATTCTCTTCCATGCTGTTCAAATCTCTGAATATCCATCAGTGCATCTACTTTTGTAACACGCCATTGTCTGACCCTGAAGACTGAGTCACAAAAAAGCAGCAAGGAGGAGGAGGACCTGCCCACCTCTTGTATTAATATTATTTCAAGGACTTGAGCAGGGTGGAACAGCATTGCACTTAGATGCCCAAGTTTGCTTACTTACCTAATAGGTGGAAGAGAACTTGGCCCACAGTTTTGGCACAATCAGTTCGCTGAGCATGACAGATTCGCTGCTGGTATGTGACACTCAGAGACAACTCCCTCATTTGTTATTTCCCTGTCAACATGGGGAAGCATCTGCAGAAGCTGCTGGGGCAGGATGGAGAACATTAGTGTGGGTAGATGGAGCAGGTCAGAGCACAAGGAAGGGCATCTTAGACAGCAAAGAGGGAGGAACACCTGAGCCCACTCTCTGGTACTGCCAGTGTCGAACGACGGCTCCTAGTTTTGCTAGCGTGGACACAGCCTTGGTGATGAGGACTAGGCAGTGATTACAAAAGGCACCAGAAAGCTCTGGGCCCTCTTTTCTTCCTTTCATAACAGTGACAAGATGAGGAAGAGGTGATTATGCACCAGGGAAGCCCAGTTGTGGGAGCTACCGCATTGTTCTTGCTGCATTAGAAAAGCCCCATGGCTGGGAAGCAGCCCCTGCTGTGGCACCAACAGCCAGTGCACAGGACTGGATGGATGCTGGAGGCTTCTTTACTGCTGACTTAACGAAGCCATTTGCTTCTCCACTGACACCTGCCCTTATGTGCTGAGTGTCTCACTGGCATTTTATTCACCAGTATCGCATACGTGGTGCTTTTTTGCTGTGCAACTCAAATAACTTTCCTAAGCTGGGTGCTTGTTCAAGTCCCCGACGTGCCACAAGAAGGTAAGGCACTGAGGGAAGAAGCAACCCCTCAGGGATAAGACCCCTTGTGTCTGGTCTCCACTTAGCAGACTGCATGTTTTCTAGGCTCACTTCACCTCTTCCCTGCTTGTATTCTGCCCCTGACGTCTGCATCTCCCTACTTCTACTACTAAATTCTTCACACAGAAGGGATCTGAGCTTCTCCACAGTTTGGGGTTCTTTGGATCTGGGATTCTGGTCTGGAGATTAACTAAGACATCCTGATCAGCTCCATGCACAGGGACTCTAATTCTGGAGTAAAAGTACTTTTGCATACCCATACAAGGCTCACTTATTCTGGAATAAGTGTATGTACACATGGGATTAAGCAGGAATCAAGGACAACTCCATCTATAGACAAACCCTGCCTGTCCCATGGGTTTGTAATCTCAACCCAGAAGCCAGGTTAGCCTTGGAGACAGACAAGCCAACTCCCTACTACAGGGCATCTATGCCTACTGGCAGTGGGATACATTGGCTGCAGCAGGACGGGAGGTGCACTGGCCGTGTTGTCCATGAATATACAGGGGACTTTGTGATTGTCCATCCAGCACCTTTCCTAAGCATCCAGCATCTCGTGCACTCACATCCTACTGGGCAAAAGGCCCAGTGGCATTAGCTAAAGGCACAGCATTGACCTTGGTTTCCTCACTATTACGATGGTTATCATTACTGTAACGCAGGCAGGGCTGGGGTGTGGGTTGTTTTGTTCTGTTTGGAATTTGCTCCTTCTTTGGAAAAAAAACGTTATCCTTGGATGGACAGACTGCACTGGGTAAAATTATATTCAGGCACTTAAAATAAAAACATTCATTATACTATTTTAAAAAGCCCTAAATAGCTGTATAGGAAGCAGCTCGTCAGTATTGCCAGACTCAAGTATTCAAAAAACCATGTGTTAAGTCCCCCAAGATCATGAGACTGGCTTAAAAATCATATGAAGTTTGTTTTCTTTAAATAAAATGATAGTTTTGGGGTTCTTTCTTTGCCAGCTGCTTTATGAGACAGCAGATCACGCTCGCTTCATGCTTCCAAGCTTTTTATCTACCATCCAGAAGATTAGAAACATCTTTCTTTTTTTTTTCCTCCTTTTTTTAATGGGAGCTGAGATTTTCCTGCAAACTTTTGATTACAGAAGCTGGAACATTAAGACACTAACCAAACATCCCAATACTTGCGATACAGTTGTGAGACTTGGCAACACTGTAGCTGCTGGCTGTGTTTTGGGGTTGCAAGCCACGTGGTGGCCGTTTTGAGAAAGTGAGGAGCAATTAGCTCATCCAGTTGGCCAACTGCTTGGCAGCGTGTCATTTTCTCCCCAGTACCAAGTTCATTAAGTGCAGAATAATTGGCTGCCGAGCCCCCCATACGTTGCCTTTCCAACTGGTACTCATCTAAACTGAAAAGGGTCACGCTAATCACATACAAACGCGGCAGAAATAAAAAAGAAGAAAAGAGTCATTTGAGATCCTACCTATCCTCATCTTGCACGTTTCACTCTGCCTTAATCCCAGATACTTGATGCATTAATTTCTATTGCATGCTAGCTACTGAAACTCCCCTTTCGTACTGCAAAGCCATTGCACCAGGGGTTCAGAATAGAACAGCTGACATAACCTTTCAGTTGGATGACAAAGGACTCCTATCAGGACGCTGCTGAATAAAGCTCTTCCTTGGAACAAACCTTCTCACCATCCGCCTGGAAATACTATTGTCCGGCTCCTGTCCTCACCTTGGAGTTAAAGCTACTGGTGGTATTTGAATGCTGGCCAGCAGGTGGAGTTGTTATACCTCTTTTGGTCCCTCAAGCTGGGTGGGATGGTTTGTGGGACACGCCGGTGTGCGTGTGTTCATGTGTGTGTCTTTTTCTGGCGTCACAGCAAGTGCCTGAAAACTGTGTGACTGCCCAGAAGGAACATAAAAGGAAACCAAGATGAACCCAGGGTGCTGGCTCGGTGCAGTCCTCGGGCTGAGCCCATCTCCGGCGGGGTCTCATTGTTGCTTTCAGAACAGTTCGCTGTCATTTGGGGCATCCTGCCACCTCATGCTCCCACGAAGGTCCAAGAGGGGGCAGATTCCAGGAAATGAGGAGTTACCCGGACCTAGGTGAACAAACCACAGGTGCAGCATTAGGGAAATGTCCAGGACTGCCACCAATGCCCCTAGAGATGTCCTAACCAGACAGGGCTCCGGGTGCTCTTAGTGTTTGACATAGCCCAGGGGTGAGGTCCCCGACCAGGTGGGCTGGGGAACTAAGCAGACACACAGGTCTGAGCTCTTCTCCCTCACTGACATGGGAAAGGCCCCACTGCTGCTTAGACCTCAGTAACACCTCAACAGCCCCACGCAGTATTGGTGCAAGAACACAGCTTGAGACAGTCCCTGCCTGCCCCAGAGAGCTTCTGTCCCAAGCAGATAAGGCAGGGAAAGGGTAGAGGGAAGGGAGTTGCTGCTTCCCAGGCCTCAGTCACTGTGAGACCTATCCCATTCCTTCCCTGGATCTGGGAGGGTCACAGCCAAGGACACAAGGTGCACATGAGCTGCTGCTGCTCATGTGAGGGCTGCTCCCATCTCCATCCTATGTGCTGCCTACTGCCAAACCAATTCCTTGACCAAATAGGCTAGAGCCTCCTGGGCTACACAGGCCAGTGGTGGTCCATGCCTGTGGATTAGGAGCCGGGGATGGTTCGCTGCAGCAAAGTGGGACTTAGTACCAGAGCACAGACTTCTACCATCTGAGCAAAGGGAGGGGCTCTGCTAGCAGGGAGGCAGTTATTCTCTATGTGATGCATGTGGCAGAGAGCCACCTTGGTTTCTCCCCAAAAATCTCTGCCCTGTGACACTGTGATTTAAATCTCTGTGCTGTGACCATTCAATTAGGATGGGCCCAGCACACAGGGGACCACACCCTCAGCCTGTCTCTTTAGGGAACTGGAGCTGGCTGCATTCCTGAGGGAGGGGGAAACCTGCTCCCTCTGCTTACGTGACTTGCATCACTTACCTGGGTAAGGGGTTTCTACCTGGGGAGCTGGAATCTGCCCGGTAACAGGTGATGCATTTCAGATTGGTTGGCTGACAGCCAACTGGGGCTGACCTCTGCTGGCCCAGGTGAATGAGGTCACAGGGGCTATATAAGTTAGGACGGGGAAGGAGGCGGTCTCTCCTCTCCGGCCATGAGGTGACGCAGCAGCCAGGCAGGGGACAGAGAAGCCTTAACATCTGAAACTGGCTCTCTCCCCCCAAACTCACGAGCTAGGAACCGCCTGCCTCCAAAGGGAAACTTCACCTGCCTTTGGAAGATGCTTGTGAGTAAGCTACTCAATCTGATTAGATATTTAGCTGAAGGTATCACATATGCGTAATCAAAAGGCTACCACAGCCAGACTGTTTGCTCTTTAGGATTTCTAGATATTGCTCTATCCTGTACCCTAGTTTACCCTACCCCCTGTAATCAATAAAGTTCTCCTTTTTGACTGGTGTGGGAGACTTATTGAGGGGTGGGTCTAAATTATGCCTAAGAGACCCCTTAGGTCTGTGGACTAAGGGAGACTATACCTTTTTGCCCCCGGACTTGGGGAAGTACCCCAAGTGCCTGTATTGGGTTGAGTACCCGTGGGACTTTAGGCCTGTGTTACCCCAAGGACACAGGGCCGCGAGACAGTCCATTCTTGGGGTGGCGGTGGCACGTTACCCCCAGACTAGCACGTGTGCTCCGGGAGAGGGGTCGGCCGGACATAAGGCGCCCCTAGGGAGGCATTCGGAGCCTGGAAGGTGGTCGGGCGCAGGGAGGTGGGCGGCTCAACATGGGAGCACCCCCTACTGGCCCGCCTCATGTGGTGGAAACAGCGGAGGGATACGAATACCCAGCTGTGTTCCTGAGGTGGGATCTCTGCACCCGCCACAATGCACACATTTCAAGTGGGTTGCAAAAGTTACTTGAGCTTGTCACTCCTGTCCTTTGACTGTCCCTTGTGCCACTTAATCTGCAGCTGCTGGATCCACACACATCACTCTGGGACCTGGCACACGGAGAAATGAGTTTGTGAGGGAGGATACACACAGTCAGCTCTTGAGTAAATCAAAGCAGTTCAGCAAACTGGTATGGGTGAATGGGAAGAGCTGTCTCTTTGTAAGCTGTGTCAAGACAAAGGGTATATTACATCATGGAGAGCCATATTGCTGACAACTACTAGCTGCATGAGGTGGCACAGCATGTGGGTATTTCCACTTTGGGTTGGGCTAGAGCTGAACTCAACACAACATGGCACCAGCTTCCAGCAGATTCCTAGCAATGGAACAAGGAATCAAGGTCATAAAACTGTAAGCTGCTCCTGGAAGATGCACAGATCTCTGCAGGGACCCAGGGCTTCTACTCTGGATACAGAGATACATGCCCTGCCAGCTTCCAAGCCCCTCGCAGACTTTCCCCTTACACACCCCTGAGAGGAGAAATGCTATTATCTCCATTTTACAGAAGTCTGGCTATGTCTACATGTGCAATTAGTAAACCTTAAGGTTACTGCACATTAGAATAAGGTGCAGTAAACTGCACCCAGGAATGTGTCTACACATTCACCCACATCAGAAGCAAATTTGCTCCCAACAGGAGCAGTTGAGTTCAGGGCTGCTCCTGTCCCTTTGACCTACTCTGCCTCCCTGCAACAGCCAGAGGGAGCTCCAGGCTCCCCCAGTGGCAGAGGGCACGGGGGTCAGGCCCGGGCTCTGGGCAGCAGTGCGGGGTGGGGAGCTGTCCCAGACCAGGGCACAACTCCCAGCCATGTGGAGCTCAGGATCCTGGCTGAGCAACGCTGGCTTAGGGTGAACTGGAGGGGTGAGCAGTAGGGCTGTGTGAAACAGCAACTTTTTGTTTCAAATTCCATTTCGCCGTTTCAACAGGACAGTGTTTTGCTTCGAGTTTCATTTAATTTCAAAACCGCTGTTCCATTTCATTTCAACACTGTTTCAACATTTTGCCCATAGGCTATAATGGGGAAGCATGAAACTGCCTATAACTTTGCCATTTCCTGTCTGCTTCAGATGAAACTTGCAGAGATAGTAGCCCTTTCTGAGGCCATGAAGTCTGTCAAGTTTCAAGGAGAAAGGTACAGGGGCTTCTGGGAAACTCTACCTCAAAGTCTTGAAATCAAAACTCATGTTGTGTGTGTGTTAAGGCACAGGGGGGTGAAAACTGCAGGGATGGTGGCCCCTGCTGAGGCCACGAAGCCTGCCAAGTTTCAAGGAGATAGGTACAGGAGTTTCTGGGAAACTGCACCTCAAAGTGTTCAGAGCAAAACTTGTGTCACTTGTAAGTGTGAAGGCACAGAGAAAGCTCAGTTCAAACAATGCTTTTATGCAGTTTTTCCATCCCTCCCCCAGAGCACTGGGACTGGAAGGGACCTCAGGGCAAGATCACAGTCACTGGCTAGCTACACATGTCAATGTCAGAGCAGTCCTTCCCCGCTCTTCCCCTCTCCTTCATTTCTCTTTAGCTGCAAGCAAGCTCAGCTTTGAAACTCGAAATGTTTCAAAACTTTTGAAATGTTTTGAGTGCCCTCATTTTGTTTTGAAGCTGTTTGAAGCCTTTCATTTCATTTTGATTTCACTGTTTTGAGCTCAAAACGAGTTGAAACAGCATCAAATTGAAACAGCTGACAACATTTTGCACAGCCCTAGTGCTGGGACTGAGGGGAGCCACAGGGAGGTAAGCCAGTGGTCCTGGTGCTGCTTCCCACCCTGTGACTCCCCCTAGTCCTGGCACTGCTTACCCCCTGCAGTTCCCCCTAGTCCCAGCACTTCTCAACCCCTGGCTCCCTCCAGGCACAGGCAGGGAGTGGGAGCTGACTGAGGCATACTGCATGGGCAGTGGCAGGGGTGAGGGCATGGGGAAGCTCTCTGTCCCTGGCCTGGTGCTGCAGGGACAGAGAGCTTCCCTGTCCCCACAGCAAAAAAAACAGGGAGAGCTCATGGCACTGCTATTATTTGGCCATGGGGCCATTTGGACAAGGGGGTGGTACAGCCCAACTACACCCATGAGTTCAGCTCCCAATGTGTGGTGCTTCTTAAAAACCTGTCCCGTGTGGGTCTTGTGCCCACTGGCATGAGGAGACTGGTGAGCTGGGGGGGGGGG